ACTGTCTATGTGGACATGAGAGCACTGAGACATGACAGGCAAGACACACACACACACACACGCATTAGGTATTTCATGATTTTCATTCTTAGAAAGATGTTACAAAAGGGACAAAATTATTAAGATTAGGACAGTACAATTCAAAAGGTTTTTATTTTCAGCAAATGGCCTGTAAAAGAAGGCCCTTAATGTTAAGAAAATGTTAATTTTCAGAATATATTAAACTATAAATATTAATATTAATATATAAATATCAAATATACGGATCAAATATTACCGTACAATACTGTAATTATATATAATTACGGTATTGTACAGTAATGTTTGATCCGCATTACCTATCTGATCCAGGGAATATGATTTTTTTTTCTTTAAGCCATTTACATGGTGCCGAAAAGACATTCCGTTCTGAAGATATTGACAGGCAAGTGTGTCAGAACAGAGCCGAAATAAGAAACGAGGGCCCTCGCTGGTGGGGATGTTCAGCTCTTTGCCTTCAGCTGAATAACGGCTCTAGTTATGGGCAGTCCTTCGTTTATTTTTTCTTCTACTTACTGACACACTCGCCTGCTAATTTCTTCGAAGCGGACACTTATGACCACGGTAAGCTTTTAGCATTTTTAAGACTTTTTGTGTCCGCCATCTTCTAACATTACACTCTCACACACTGTATTTCTTGACTACTTAATGAGAGTTGTTTGATGACTCTGCTGCGTTTATCAGTCATGGAGGAAACACTCGAGTCACTTTACATGTATTATTTAGCTCTCCCTATTGTTGCGGCTGTATTATTTATATGTAAAAGTCTAGACCCTAAATATATGACAAACCCATTTGTTTTTCAGATGGATTTCCAAGAAAAAAAATCAGTCATAAATTTGGAACAATATATTTTTTTTCTATCAGATCCTCATCTGAAGTAAGACTGTATGTTTTGCAGGGTGAGATTGGTTGAAAGAGGGTCTCCACATAGTTTACCTCTCATGGAATCTGGGAAGGTTAGTAAAACAGTTAAATGTGTCTTTATTTGTGTTCTTATATTAAATGTAAACCATGTTAGATTCCAAAAGTTGTCTTATTTTTCTTTATTTTTGAACAGATTTTACCTGGTGTACGCATCATCATCGCTAACCCAGAGACGAAGGGACCAATCGGAGATTCTCATTTAGGGGAGGTTAGACCAGTAGCACTTTCTTGTCTGTCAGATAAAATGATATCTCCTCATTACCAAACATCTCACTTGAGTCCGTTTTAAAATGTGTGCAGATCTGGGTCCATAGTCCACAGAATGCCAGTGGGTACTTCACTGTGTTCGGAGAGGAAAATGTGCGTTCGGATCATTTCGGAGCCAGGTTGAGCTTTGGAGACACTCAGACTATGTGGGCCAGAACCGGATACCTGGGGTTTCTGCGCAGGACCGACCTCACTGATGCAAGCGGAGGTGTGTGTGTGTGTGTGTGTGTGTGTTCAATATATATTGGGCATTTAGTCTCGAATTGTCTGTGCATTCATAGAGAGAAAGATATTTGATTTGCATTGAGCAGTGGAGTTGGTCTGAGTTGTTTTATTTGTGTGTTCAGAAAGGCACGATGCCCTTTATGTGGTGGGAGCATTAGATGAAGTCATGGAGCTGAGAGGTATGAAATACCATCCCATTGACATTGAAACGTCCATCATCAGGGCACATCGGAATATCACAGAATGGTGAGCTCACACACACACCAACACACAGGGAACCATGTCATATTGTGATACGATATGATCTTTTTATATTACAATATTGTGAAATATTATTACAATTTAAAATAAGTTCTCTGTTTTAATATATTTTAAGATGTATTTGATTCCTGTGATGGTAAAGCTGCATTTTCAGCATCATTACTCCAGTTTTCAGTGTCACATAATCCTTCAGAAATCATTCTAATACGCTGATTTGATGCTTGAGAAACATTTATTGTTATTATCAATTTTGAAAACATTTCTGCTGCTTAAAATTTTTCTGGAAGTCATTATTATTTTTAGGATTGTTTAAATAGAAAGTTCAAAAGAACAGCATTTATTAAGTAGAAGTCTTTTTTGTAACATTATAAATGTCTTTACTGTTACTTAAGATCATTTTAATTCCTTCTTGATTATTAAATGTATTCAGTTCTTTGAAAAAATACGTCTTGTTGACCCCAAACTTTTAAACTGTAGGGTATATATGGAAGCATACTTAGTTTTTATTGGAAAAACAACCTAAAAATTATTTAGTTTTTTAAACTGAACTGAAAAAACAGCTGCTGCACTTTAAATGACACAAGTTAATAACCAAAGTCTCAACACACTTTAATAAATCATAAAAATAATTGGATAAGCCACATTCAACATTAACATGTGTTTTTCCTGGCAGTCACGAGCCTCGATATTCAAGAAGGAAATAGTCTGTGCCCTTAAACTGGATATGTTATTATTCAGGTAGCCATCCATAAACTTGTTTGCTCAGCAAGATTCTCTTCATAATCTTGCTGACAATACAGTAGTTGATCAGAGTGAAAACTAACTGCAGTGCAGATGAAGACAGTTTATGCTAATGCCTAGCGTAGTTGCATTGCACAATGAATACACTTTTTAGAAAAGCAGCTACTTGTGAAATCGAGCAATCTTGCATTCATAGCGCAAGGTTCAAACTTTCTCTCTCTCTCTCTCATTCAGTGCGGTGTTCACATGGACGAATCTCCTAGTGGTGGTGGTGGAGCTGGATGGTTCTGAGCAGGAAGCTCTAGATCTGGTTCCAATGGTAACTAATGTGGTTCTAGAAGAACACTACTTGATTGTGGGCGTGGTGGTCGTTGTGGATACGGGCGTAATTCCCATCAACTCTCGCGGAGAGAAGCAGCGCATGCACCTGCGAGACGGTTTCCTCGCCGACCAGCTCGACCCCGTATATGTGGCTTACAACATGTAGAAACACACACACACACGCGATGATCTTAAAGATAGGCACAACAACCATGATTTGCACCTTCTCACTCTCAGCACTTCTCTCAGCCTGCTATGTAGATTGAACACCCTAAAAATAGCAAACACACACTCGCACATCATTCACAGAGGGACTTAAAAGACTTAAAGGACTCCTGTAGCATATCTTTAAGTTGTAATTTTAACTTTTTGATTGTGTCGCCCAATATTTTGCTAGTCTTGGTTATTTTTTTAATTTAAAGAACGGGATTTTATATGATACATATTGCTGTTGCCAATTAAATCCATGTTATTTATTTGTGTTTTTAAACCTGTGATATTTGTGCTTTTACGTACTTTTCTTTGCGTATATATTGTTGTTTTATGCTCGTCTTTGTTTGTTGTCTTTGTTGATGCATATTTTTGAAGTTGTATTGAAATATCACATACTCATTTAGCATGTTTATCATTTTAATGATACTAATGTGGTCATTTTCATACTTGTTAATTATGTACAGAATTTGTTTGTTTTGTTTTGTCTAGCTTTTGCTACATAATTTTTTGTGACTTTTAATAGTTTAGGCTAACATAACTGTCATTTTATGTATATGAACAAGATCATATCTGCACTGTGATGCGCATAAATATAGATTATGTGAAATAGAATTTGCATTCAGCAGCTGATCTCTCCTGTTTTAAGTCTATATCTTGAGAGAGAGAAAGAGAGGGAAGGAGGGAGGAATGGACAGAATGACATATGCACAATGTGTGTTTATTATATCTTTATTTATTTTTGAAGCTTTCATTACATGTAAGATACAAAAGCACTTTGATTATGTCACTATGTCTTTTCATATGTCAATAAAATATTTTCAACTATTCTTATTGAGAAACCATGTCGGCCTTGCAAACTTTTGTTGAGGAACACTTTACATTCACTGCCATCTAGTGAACAAAATGCATGCTAAACTCTTAATTGAATGCTGAGTGGAGTAATACATGCTGAATGAACTATGAATGTATTCATATTTTGTGATTTAATTTTTTATTTTTTTATTTTTTATTTTTATATGTCTTACAAGCCAAAATGGTACTGGTGATGCAACTCAAGAGGGCCAAAATAATGCCAGATTTTGTTCATAGATAGATGATAGTAAACATATGAATGCGCTTATATTAATAATTTGAATGGTTTCTGCATTTTAAGTTTAGTCCGATAGATAGAAATGGATAGATACCATTAAATAGTAAATAGTAAATTAAGCTTAGTAAATAAAATGCATTATCTGAAATAACCTATTTTAAGTATTAAGCTTTGTGCTATTGTAAAATGACTAACACCAATCTCAATGGAGATTAAAATCACATGATGAATCTAATCCCATTACAAACAGTTTATCCACCAGCTGAGACAGAGAAAATCAATTTAAAGAAGCTGCACAGTTTTATTCACGCAAACTCTAAACGCCATCATGGGAACTGAAATTTTAAAAATGCAGTAAACATTAATTTAACAACATTAAATGTAACATTAAACCTAATGTACATAACTGATAAAAAAAAAAAAGATAAACTTTGAAGAAACAGTTATTTCAACAGAAATACATCAAAAGTGTAGTGTCAGGGAATTGTGGGAATATAAATTTACGTTTTTTTCTCTGTAAATTATTATTTGTTCCTATTTACGTCCAAAAACTGTAACCCTAACCCTAAAATGTTGCATGCGGTTAGATATATCACAGTTATATAGATAGATAGATAGATAGATAGATAGATAGATAGATAGATAGATAGATAGATAGATAGATAGATAGATAGATAGATAGATAGATAGATAGATAGATAGATAGATAGATAGATAGATAGATAGATAGATAGATAGATAGATAGATAGATAGATAGATAGATAGATTATGAATGCGTTTATATTAAGCTACTCATAAACTGTGAAGAGTTTTTGTGTATTAAGTTTAGTCCACAAGATGGCGCTTCTGGACCGCTTGTGCACGCTCGTTGCGCCACCCTTTGGCCACCCTCATTCTGCCAGTGAGAACTGAAGCTTCCTGTCACTGTGTATCCAGAACAGCGGGTTTGGTCAGAGTGTGTGTGTTGTTGCAGGATGTGGTGAGTGAGTGCGAGAGGTGGTGCCGCTCACAGCTCGCGTGGTGACGATAGGTACAGCGAGACGTGGCGCGCTCAGAGACGGGGCAGCAGCTGGAAGACTCGAGCGAGTTGAAGTTCGTTGTGAAGGGCGGAAAATCACGGGCCGACGGCCGCTCCATACAAGGCAAGGTCGGGTGGGGAGCAGTTTAGGGAGCAGCGCTGATCCAATCATCTGCGCTCCTGGGAAGAGCCGGAACCGAGCGACGCGACTCGTTTTGTTTACTATAAATATTTTTACATGTTTGAGATGTTTCTTTAGAAACTCTCTTGTTTGTTTAGTTGTTTAGTTTTTAGTTTTGTTGTTTGTTTTGGATTGGTGTACTTTGGAGATGAGTGCGTCAGCAAACGGAGTGGAACCCAAACCCGCACCAGCGGTCAGTCAGAACGGACCGGGTTCTGCTCCGACCCCCAAAGATGTCGAAACACTCAAGCCGGTTGAACCGGACGAGGAGCCGCAGTCTTCGATGACGGACGCCACGCAGATGGGAATTAAGTTCGCCAAGACATTCCTGGTGATTTTTCCCATCTACGTGCTGGGATATCTGGAGTTCAGTTTCAGCTGGGTCCTCATTGGCCTGGCCGTGCTGTTTTGGATCAGGCGGAATCAGGGGACCAGATTCGCTCGGGTCAACCAGGCACTGGCGTTTCTGGAGCATGAGGAGCGAGCGGTGCGTCAGACCGTCCGGAGCACAGAGCTGCCGCCGTGGGTGAGTGAATGATTGACATGGAGAACTTTGACCCCAGGGCCAGCATTGACCAGTAGCACTAATTCAGACGTACGTGTGTGTGTGTGTGTGTGTGTGTGTGTGTGTGGTTAAAGTCTGATGCTGTCAAAAGTATGTGTATCCAATCCAATTTAATCTGAAGTGTCAGAACCACCCATCCAACATTTGACCTGAGAAGATTCACTATTAAGTTCTTCCATCCATGTCCCATAGGTCTAGTGATTATTATTAGTAATAATAATAAAATATTTAGGATATAACTATTTTGGATATATCTTATCAATATCAGCTGTTATAAATAAAAAAAAATATTCTTTATATATATATATATATATATATATATATATATATATATATACAAACACTGGTCAAGACAAAAGTTTGGAAACATTATTTTTTTAATGTTTTTGAAAGAGGTCTCTTTATGCTCGTTATGATTTATTTGATCAAAAATACAGAAAAAAACAGTAAATTAAAATATAATTTATTTATGTGATGCAAAACTGAATTTTCAGCATCATTACTCCAGTCTTTTTATGTTTTAGTCTATTTTAAATTGTAATAATATTTCATAATATAAAAGTTTTTCTGTGTTTTTGGTCAAATAAATGCACCCTTGATGACTGTAAGGAACTTCTTTCCTTAAATATATATATATATATATATATACACACACTCACACACACTAAAGATATTTTTATTTATAAGGGCCGATACCCAGATTTGATTCTGAAATATTAAATATCAGTGTCTGCATTCAAAATCATTTGTCATGCTCGGGTAGAAACATAATCTTGAATGCTTGTGGGAAATCTACAAAGTTTTAAACACACACATCATGGACAAGCCAGGTTGTCATGTCTGTTTCTTTTGGCCTGCAGACAGTCTCTGGTTCTGTTGCTTTAAACAAATGAGTGCGCTGTCTAACCTGAGATCAGTTCTGGCATATTATTTCATATCGTTAGCAGGCCTCTGTGCTGAAAGAGTCATTCAGGGACACACAATTCCTGTGTTCTTCACTCCATTAGCTTTATTTCACTCCTCTTGTATGGCCAGACAGGCTGTCGCTGTTCTTTCTTTCAGTTTTAGCCTGATATTAAGTAACTTGAACAGGTAATTCGTGAAACTCAGGTTGACTGATCGTCCGACTTGGGTTGGTTGTATGGTTCGTTCGATTGTGAACCTACTTGAAAGTGGATTATTGTGTTATATGATAGTTTTTAAAAATGAAACACCGCACATACTCAGACATCCAACTTTACAACAGTCATTAGTTTTAAGCATATGTGTTTGAGTGTGTTGGTAAACAAGTTCAGGTCATATATTGTTTGGTGAAAGAACCTCTCCTTAGTGGGTGTGGTGCGTTTCTACAGCAACTGTCATTATGAAATTTAACATTATTATTATGACATCACCAACACATCGTGAGTCACATGCTTGAGGAAATGTTGCTATAGTGACCTGTCACTCAGATGAGGCGCACCACTTTCCCTTTTGGGTTAATGTTGTGTGTATACGAGCAGACACAATAACTCTTTTCCTGGAGGACAGATTTTATAAAGACAGTTTTCCCATCCTATTGTGTGTCTGTGTTTGTGAATGTGTTCATAGCTAACATGGGAATCGTTATATCAAACATGGCGATGAAAAGCAAGTGAAGTTTGTGTTACCTGAACCATGACGTGCACACAAAATGGGTTTTGTTTTTTTCCTAACCTTTCTGTGTAACTCATTCCTAATCAGCTTCTGAGTAGTGGTCCACTGATATCGACATTGGCCCGCCAAACTATATTTTAGAGTGCAGTGCAAATGATCCAATAACATTATTTGACATAGTATTTCCTAAAATAATTACAAAATAAATAATTTGAGCATGATTTAAACTTAAAAAAAAATCTTTAGAATAGCAACTTCTTGGTTCTGTGATAGGAATACTATTATACTGTAATACTATCTAATACATCTGTGCTTTAGTTTTTGAAAAATATATTTAAAAAAAAAATGTGTTCGACCTGTCTGAGTGCAGTGGGAATCCCTTTTTCTCAATTAAAGACCAGGCAATGCTAATTTTACATGCATTACTCATTGAATATGACATAGCGGCCAACTTGATATAGCGCAGCATAGTTCTGCTTTCTATTTCTATTATTAGGCAGAACTGTTAAATAAAGACAGTAATGACCACACATTCTGGATTCTGCAGATGACTGGATTTTCAGCACTGTCAAAATAAACGTCCCACTTGTGACACTTATCGGCCAAACGGAAAAAAAAAAGACCAGCGAATGCTGATAATTAAAAAATTAAGCCAAATATCTGGCAATATTATGGTCGACAACTACTCGGAGTCGGCAACATTGCCAAATCCTCCTACTGACAATCTACAAAACCAAATAAATCTAATAAATGGAAAAGTGTTTAATAATTCAAGAGACACCTTTTTATTGGCTTGGCTTTATTGCGTCACAGCACACTCAGAATGAAAGGTCCTTTGTTGTGTGTGAGTGTGACTGATAGATTTATTACAGTATGTTTGCTTTACTATGTCTGATCAAAGTCACATCGAGCTCTATAGAGTCTTTGTTGTTTGTTTGAGACTGCTACAAGTTTTAAATTACATTCAGAGAGTGTGTTTGTGTAGTTCTGTATTATTAGGTGGTCGGAATATGCCCAAATGTTTTTGTTCGTCTTCTACATTGGTTTCCATCCACAGCCATCATCTTGTTCTTTCAGGAAACACTGTGGACAGTGACTCTTTTCTTATAAATGAGTAAACTAGAAGTCATTTAGGTCAGCCGATCTGTCCACCGCCAGCCTCGTTCATCTCGTCATCCGCTGTCTGTAAATTGCTGAGGGGTGCCAGTCTGTCCATTGTCTCTCAGCAGAGATGCTTGTTTACTTCACCATTCATCAGCTCAAACAAACTCTTATTGATCATGTGAGAAGAACATAGACCTTCCAAAAATTCAGCCATCATTTACTCACCCTGATAGTGCTTAAAAAAACATTATGATTCCAATCCTGGATATTCTACAAAAAAGTCTTACTGGTTTCAATGGTGCATGATAGATATACGGTCGGATATACTAATTTGTTAGTATCTGTCCATATTGGATATAATCATCTGATATTGGATATTTAATGCATGCTCCATTTATTCTAACATGTAGATTACCCCACTGTTCCTTCCTCATATTTGACATATTTTTGTATGTCTGTCATGCGCTAATAATATGGTCCAATCAGTTTTTGGCATTGAGTCTGACACTCAGACTGTCTTCCCAGCTGACAAAACGGCAAATGTCCTTTGACCTGTTCAGCAGTTGTGCTGACTCCTCTCAGACGTGCCTGTGATACCTCACCAAATCATTAAGCAGCTCTAGCTGTCATTCATTGAGTTCACAAGACCATCTACACCTCTGGTTAATTCATTTAGGCCAGCGGTTCTCAATTCTGGCCCTCGAGATCCTTTCCTGCTGAGGGTGTTTCGAAGGGCATACCGCGAAGGGGACGTCATTTCTTGGTGCATTTCAAACAAAAGTGATTTTACATTTTACATTTTTTTTATTTAGCTGTCACTTTTATCCAAAGCGACTTACAATTGCTATATATGTCAGAGGTCACACATCTATGGAGCAACTAGGACACTTTAGTGTCTCGCAGTGGATTTGAACCTGGGTGGGTCTCTCACACCAAAGGCATGTGTCTTATCCACTGCGCCATCACCACACCCCATGTGAATACCTGAATCCCTTCACAAAGGTCCCTTACACAAGTCCGTTAGCGAAGGGTACATGCCATGGTTACTTCAAGCAAGTCATTTTATCCTTCATGGTCATGTGACCCAGGGTGGCGAATCCTTCTGATTCATTTTAAAGCTAGATGGCAAGAGAGTTCAGGTTAACATATAAAGCACCATTCAAGATGTTTGTGTGGTTTTTTGTGATATTCTTGTGTTTTCTGTGTTATACAAAAGGATGTTCAGCTACGTGGTGTACAATGCATGTCACATGACTTACTCACCTGCTCCCTTCCCAGCCTCAAACACAACGTGATGACTTGAGAAGACAGAGTAGTATGCAACTATAAGCGTACAACCTCAATGCTGACAAAGAACATTTCAGTCAAATATCAAACACAGTATACAAGAACTCATAACATTAATATCCACAAAACGGCGCTATTAGGGAGTGTGCAAACAGCAAAGTGAGCAAAAAGCTGCCGGCACGGAGGAGATACGGGTATTTAAACGGTGGCGTGAGGTGATTGGCAGCGTGAACTGGGGTGTCATCTTCCTTGGTGGATCCAATGGAATCTGAAACACACACAAAACAGACCACCCACGCATACACATATACAACACACACTACTCTGATACTGTGATTATATGTGAGTAGGGCACATATAGTGAGTAGGGCATAGTGATGCTTGCCTCTGAATGGAGATTTGCAAACACACATGAACAAGCTAATCAAGGTCTTCAGATGTCTTACTAGAAAATGATAGGAAAGTGAGTTTGATCAAGGTTTGATCAAGGGGTCAGATGAGGTCAAATCTGTCACAGTTCTTCTGGTTGCTACTGTTACTCTCAGAATGAGCGTGTTTGTTTCTCAACTGGGCAACAGGATTGTTTATGACAAACTTGTTTACTTGCATACTGTTGGAAATTACATTGCTTAACAGATCAGATCTTACACAGATGCACACGTTCATGCCCACACACACATTACTGCATTTGGTCAGTGTCAGTGTGTTAACATGTCTTCATGGATCTGCTTCGCATGCTTAGACTAGTAGCCTGTATCATCCTGAGTTTCTGCCTCATTTCAGTTCTCATTTTAACTGTGTTTAGGGATAGATTATGGAGCGAAGTATGTGCCTAAACCTCACACACAAACAAAACGTGTTTTACTCACACCCAATGATTCACAAACAAACTCAGTGTGGTTTGTAAATACAAAACATCACTCACAAACTAATGCATATTGTTCTGCAAATAAAAAACGTACCTATCAAACAAATACAGTATGTTTTACATATACATAGAAACGTATTTCTTCAATGACCAAAATATCCTGCAAGTACAAACTAAAATCTTTGAAAGTACAAAACAAAATTCTACACGTACAAAACAAAATTCTACAAGTACAAAGCAAAATTCTACAAGTACAAAGCAAAATTCTACAAGTACAAAACAGAATTCTACAACTACAAAACAGAATTCTACAAGTACGAAAAACTGTCACGTGACTTTTGGCACTATTTTTCCGCGTCCAGGCAGAATCAGATTTTCTCACAAATACAGTGGAACAACTTCTCCTCCTCTAGAACAGTAGATGGCGCTAAGATAAGGGATCAATTTGCTCGCCTTTGCCCATGGGAAAATGAGCGGTGAACAGGTGTGTTTCTGTCCAACTTTATCTATAATTAACCTTATTGAGGTTTTGGAAAATGTTTATTATATAGACAGAAATCCACATTAGCACTTAGTAGTAACGTACTCCACTCTAGGATAAGGGAATCTATAAGCTGAAAGCTGCCATCATGTTGCTTTTACTTTTTGTAAAAATGTTTCATTTACTGAATGACTCTATTTCTTTCGTTCTCCGTAAATTAATGAGAATTAATTTCATTTAATTGAAAGGGTCCCACTTATTCATTAATTTAGTTGGAATTCAGTCAGCGTAACTGTTAATGTAATAAAATAATGAATGAACAAAACAATATAGGCCTACAGTTGTTTCTTCCTTGTGATGTATTGTCCAAATTTTTATTTTGGACAGACAAATGAAACCCTCCTTTCAATTAAATTAAATGGTCTCATTAATGTATGGAGAACGAAAGTAATAGATTCGTTCAGTGAACATAATCACTAATTTAGTCGTTTCACACGCGTCTTATGTAGGCTAGATTATTAGCCTAATATTATTTTTTAAAGCAACATATGACATAGATTTCAGCCTAGATTCCCCTAGAGAGAGTGAAGTGCTAATAGCGGTAATATGGATTTTTGTCAAGAAATAATTAACATTTTGCAAAAGAAAACCTCAATAAGGTTAATTATATAAAGTAATACAGAAACACACCGTTCACCGCTCACTTTCCTCAGCTGTAGTGTTGGGAAAACGTATTTCGTTACAGAATAAATGCCCCAAAATGTCATTTGTAACGTATTCCATTACATTACCTACTCAATCTGAGGGATTACATCCGCATTGAATTGCCTTTTAGAAGTGTAAGAATTGTGGCCATCTAATTCTGTTTACTAAACTGGGCTATTCTGGTGGGTGCGGTGATGCGGTGGTGACGCGTGTAACATGTAGGGTGGCACTGCCAATAAAGCACCTTAAAGCTGTCACAAAGAACCGGCAAAAGATTATGAATAGGCTATGTAAAATATAGCAAGAAGATATTTTAATTGTTTATTAATAAACAAGTGTATCTTTGTCAGTGTGTCGGCTGAAAACATGAAGTTGACAATGCTGACTCGCGATCTTCGCCGTGAACGCGCCAGGATTAATAATCTAGCCTACAAGACGCGTGTGAAATGACTAAAGTAGTGATTATGTATACACTGAACGAATCTATTACTTTCGTTTCGTTCTTAATAATGAAAACATTTAATTTAATTGAAAGGAGGGTTTCATTTGTCTGTCCAAAATAATAATTTGGACAATACATCACAGGGAAGAAACAACTGTATATTGTTTGATTTGTTCATTCATTATTTTATTGCATTAACAGTGACGCTGACTGAATTCCAACAAAATTAATGAATAAGTGGGACCCTTTCAATTAAATGAAATGTTCTCATTAATTTACGGAGAACGAAAGAAATAGAGTCATTCAGTAAATGAAACATTTTTACAAAAAGTAAAAGCAACATGATGGCAGCTTTCAGCTTATAGATTCCCTTATCCTAGAGTGGAGTACGTTACTACTAAGTGCTAATGTGGATTTCTGTCTATATAATAAACATTTTCCAAAACCTCAATAAGGTTAATTATAGATAAAGTTGGACAGAAACACACCTGTTCACCGCTCATTTTCCCATGGGCAAAGGCGAGCAAATTGATCCCTTATCTTAGCGCCATCTACTGTTCTAGAAGAGGAAGTTGTTCCACTGTATTTGTGAGAAAATCTGATTCTGCCTGGACGCGGAAAAATAGTGCCAAAAGTCACGTGACAGTTTTTCGTACTTGTAGAATTCTGTTTTGTAGTTGTAGAATTCTGTTTTGTACTTGTAGAATTTTGCTTTGTACTTGTAGAATTTTGCTTTGTACTTGTAGAATTTTGCTTTGTACTTGTAGAATTTTGTTTTGTACTTTCAAAGATTTTAGTTTGTACTTGCAGGATATTTTGGTCATTGAAGAAATACGTTTCTATGTATATGTAAAACATACTGTATTTGTTTGATAGGTACGTTTTTTATTTGCAGAACAATATGCATTAGTTTGTGAGTGATGTTTTGTATTTACAAACCACACTGAGTTTGTTTGTGAATCATTGGGTGTGAGTAAAACACGTTTTGTTTGTGTGTGAGGTTTAGGCACATACTTCGCTCCATAATAGATGTTATGAAAACAGACAGATAAATAAGAATATTAAATATATATTGTATTCACAATCTGTCTGGGAATGATACTTTGACCCCTGTCAGCACTTAAGCCTTTTGAAGGCCAGAGGTATGTGTGTTTGCGGCAGAGATAAGGCAGATGTACAGATGCAGTCTTAGTAACATAAGATCAGATCAGATCAGCCTCGACTGCTGTCTGACAGGCTATGCGAATTAGCGGGCTAACTTTAGCTGTTTTATGCTCTCTGCGCATATAATCAGGAAATAGCACAGCTTTGAGTCATAGACTGGCTTTCTCTCTCAGGAAAATATGAGAAAGAAATGGAGCCAAATACAAGTCAGGGATTTTCCATTTGGCTTTTCTGGCATATCTCTCGCTCACATGCTTTTGTGCCACATCTTTCCATATAGGTCCTTTCTCCTTAACACCGTTTACTCTTCTCCATGATTAAAGTAAGATGAAGAGCCAGAGACGGAGAGACACTGCAAATCTAGAACACAATCATTAAAATCAAAGAAACTACCCACAAAATAGGGATGGAAATATTAGCATGTAACTACTTACAATAAATATGTTTTGGGTGACATACTTTTTGATGTTGTTGTTACTTGTATATAAGAACAAAACTCCCTTTTCAATGGCTGTGACAAAGTCAGTCCATATTTTTTAGAATTACTATAAATCTTAAATATTTTTACCAGCATCTATTTAAAAATGTCTGAATTTCACTAATTAAAATAGCTATAAGAGAGAAATAAGCAAACAAAACTCTCTTCCAAATGAGTATATATTAATGTTTATGATTTAATTATGAGTAAACTGTAGCAGTTCTCGTTTTCTGCACTGTAAAAAAATTAAAGAAAAAAGTATGAAAATACTACAGAAAAAAACTGTTAATTGGTTAAACATAAGTTACCTTACCATATTGGCTATAGTGAAAAATTGTAAATGGTTTAACATTGTGTTAAATATAATTTTACCGTTGTTAATGTTAAAAGTCACCTTTATTTATATAGTACAGATTGTTTCAAAGCAGCTTTAGTGTGATGGAAACAGGAACATTTTGCATTTCCGCTGTTTTTCAGCTAAATCAGATTCAGTGTTGATTCAGTTCTGTTGTAAAGATCATCAATTAAATTAGTTCATTTAATCTATAAAGCAGTTCTGCAAAAAAAATAAAAAAATAATAATAATAATGTCATTGTCCAGCTCAGTTTATTTCTCATACAACAGCGTCATTACAGTCAGATCAGTAATATTGTTGAATATTAAGTGTCTCCAACTAAGCAAGCCAGAGACAACAGTGGCAAGAAACCCAAACTCCATCATGTGACAGAATGAAGAAAAAAACCTTGGACAAAACCAGGCTCAGTCGTGGGCCAGTTTTCCTCCAGCCAACGAACGAACAGTGTAAGACTATGATTCAGGCTGCATCACGTCAGTAGCAATATATTCATCCAATATAAAATGTATTTCATTTAAATGGGTTTAGTGAAGAACCACTTTAGCTGAATCAGTAAGTGAGTAACTCTTTAGAGCAATTAAATCCAGTTACTCATGACTGATCTCATAAGTGGCATCCTTTATTATGTTGTGTCAGCATCTGTGGAAGAACGCAGATGGTCAAGAACCTCCAACTGGACCATCGTGAAAATTATGTATTTTAATGAAAACGTTTTTTTTTTTTTTTTGTTTGTTTTTTATTTCTAATCCAGAGATTTTCTAATTGGATCGATCGCTCTCTGTGAGATTTGAAGATTTACAGATCCTGTTCTGTTGGCAACTTTAATTTATTGGTCTTCGGCAAAGTAACGAAATGTTCCAGTTAAACAGCCACATTATGTTATTATAATGTGGCCTTGTAATGAGTAATGGAAATGATGAGTAATAAGAATACTAGTTCATTCAAGTTGTGAGCCATGGCCTAGCAGTGAGCCGTGGTGATGCTGTGATGTGAATCTGTCCGTCTCCACAATACCTTTCCTCTAATGTTTCTGTCAATAAAGAGTGGCTAACTGAAGATTTAAAAAAAAATACCCTCTTTTTACCAACTCATGAACCAATGCATCTTTCCCTATATGCTTGACAGTTGAAGACTCATTCAAAAAAAAAAAAAAAGAATGAAATATTAATAACTATTTTAATAGCTGTGATGTGTGCTACTTTCAGCTGATAATGTGCTGTGACAAATGAGACTGAATGTGTATAAAATAAAACATTCTAATTATTCAATCGGTTTTCTGTTTCAGGTTCATTTTCCAGATGTGGAGAGAGTGGAGTGGCTCAATAAGGTACCGTATGTGTGTGTGTGTGTGTGTGTAGGGTGGTTTCATAAAAATAGATCTGGATCTAGGATAACCCAGAAATGTTTCCTCAAGAGTATTAACTCTCTCTCTCTCTCTTTCTCTTTTCCTTTCACAGACTGTGCATCAGATGTGGCCATATATTTGTCAGTTTGTAGATAAAATCTTCAGAGAGACCATTGAACCAGCTGTGCAGGGGGCCAATGCGCACCTTAGTACTTTCACCTTCTCCAAAATAGACATGGGGGACAAGGTACATGCACATGTTTACCTAGCTATCTAAATTAGGACATACCATACCTCAAACCCCTAAACCTTTCCCTGAAAGAGAAGTTTTTGCATTGAAAAAATGCCCATAAAAACATTAAAAATAAATGAATTAAGCACATTATATTATAATTGTTATTAAATTATATTGTGATGGTTTAATTATATCTAAATTAGTGTGACGTATTAACAGATTTATTTACCATAAATAAATAAAATCACTTTTTTATCTGTTTTTACCTTTGCGTACATACCAAAGACTTCTATTGCATTATATAAAGCTATTTATAATTGCTACAGATCAACTCAAATCCTAAAATAAAAACCTTTGACAAAGAAAAAAAAAGATTCTAAATAAAAAAAAAGATTGTTTGTACCTTTGAGGACATCCACAAAGGAGGGCTTAGTCATATTTACCTTCATATTTAACACATTCAATATTTGTCCCGTAGTACATCTTTCTAAACCCACACACACGTTTTTGTTTGTCTGCAGCCTCTCAGGGTGGATGGAGTGAAAGTTTATACAGAGAATGTGGATAAACGACAGATTATTATGGACCTACAGATCAGGTAAAGTACACAGACACAGTTGACCACTGGGACTCATTAATGGACATTTTTTAAACTCTTTTTTTCTTTTTTGTATTTGTGTAGTTTTGTCGGAAACACTGAAATTGACGTGGACATTAAGAAATACTACTGCCGTGCAGGAATCAAGAGCATACAGGTAAGACAGAGACAATTGTGTGACACATGCCTGTTTGTGTGTGGTACTTGCATAAGTTGCTTCCATTTGAGTTGGCCCCCATTACCCTGATAACAATCAGAGCAACCACACATGAGCCTTTTGAACTTCATGTCAGAAGAACTTCTTTTCTCTGTTATATTAGAGTCAGTCTCTTCTTATATCTGCATTCTGCAAGCAAAAGTTTTTTTTTATTATTTATGAGCTTTTTGCCTTTAACTGGAGAGGATAGTGGAGATGTGACAGGAAGCAATATGGAGAGGAGTGATGGTGGTATCAGGAAATGACCTGAGCAGGACCACTCCGGTCAACTGCGCATATAATGCATGCGATTTTAGTTAGTCGAAAGTATTTTTATTAAAATGCCTAGTGGTTAATGCATACTGTATGCTGCAACACATTCAGCTGTAATGCTCATGCCAGAAAGTTTGAAATCCAACATTTCTCACTTTCATTCTTCCTTTTCCCCCATGATTCCCTGTCCTCTTTCCAATGTTTTATTGGTAAACAATGCGATTAAAGGCACAATATGTAAGATTTTTTATTTATTCAAAATATCCAAAAAAACACTTGCACAATGTTATACATTTTGTTCAATTGTGTACTTATATTATTCCATATGTTTCCAACAATTTTTTAAGGGATACTCCACTTTTTTTGGAAATAGGCTCATTTTACAACTCCCCCCAGAGTTAAATTGTCGAGTTTTACCTTTTTTGAATCCATTCAGCCGATCTCCAGTTCTGGCGCTACCACTTTTAGCATAGCTTAGCATACATCATTGAAGTGCACAAGACCATTAGCATTTCTCCCAAATAAATTACCAAAGTGTTTTGATATTTTTCCTATTTAAAACTTGACTCTTCTGTAGTTACATCGTGCACTAAGACAGACGTAAAAAGTTGCGATTTTCTAGGCTGATATGCAGGGAACTATACTCTCATTCCTGCGTAATAATCAAGAAACTTCACTGTAGTACCATGAGTGCAGCAGGCGCGATGACTACACAAACTTAGTCCCGGTCACGTTGGAAGCTGGGCACTATTTTCAGGCGCTGCGTCACAACATTACGCATTACTGCTGCACTCATGGTACGGCAGTGAAGTTTCCTGATTATTACGCAGGAATGAGAGTATAGTTCCTAGTCATGTCAGCCTAGAAAATCGCAACTTTACATTTTCCGTCTGTCTTAGTGCACGATGTAACTACAGAAGAGTCAAGTTTTAAATAGGAAAAATATCGAAACACTTTGGTAATTTATTTGGGAGAAATGCTAATGGTCTTGTGCACTTCAATGATGTATGCTAAGCTATGCTAAAAGTGGTACCGCCAGAACTGGAGATCGGCTGAATGGATTCAAAAAAGGTAAAACTCAACAGTTTAACTCTGGGAAACCAGAGAAATTGCAATTGTATCTAGTGTAACAGCCCTCCTCATTCCGTCACCTGTCAATGACGTCATATCCACATTCCTTCATACCTTCATACATACCTTCAAATTACGGTTCTACTTTCGTAAAAAACAAGGAAACACCAAAATGAATCTGTGTTACATAGCTCAACATTTTTAGTCTTATTGTTGGAATCTCTTTTTTTCTTCATTTATCGTAAGTAACATGTTTGTACCCAAAAAGTAAATCAGACCACATGTACACCATTTTGTCAAGTGGCTAACATATTATAATCAGAAAGTGCTTTATTTGTAATAACAGTAATACAGCATTTTCTCCACCATACAATATATTTTAAAATGAATTACATCCCATTTAGGAACACGAATCATCCAGCTTTTATTAATATGATATTCTAATATCAAACTAGCTTACTGCAGTGTGCAACAAGTGTCTGATACCAGCTGCCACCAAGCGAACGTTAACATAACTTTCAACATACTCAAATGTATTTAGTATGATTGTTTTGACCGAGTAAAACAGCACTGCGTTACCCCACTATTTTAATTCGCAAAATAAACTCACTTATATGAGTAGTAATTCAGCCCTTGTGACTATTTTATTTGAATGAAATTAAATAATGTGTTTTTAACGTTTGCCTGTTCCTGCCTTAACTTGAACTTTGTTACGTTTGATCACTTAAAATCTTAAACGTAAATTTAAATTCTATTAGACATAAACAACATATCGAATGAAGCTGCAGTGGCCGACTATGGCATATAAGCATTAAAAACCGTTGTTTTTGTTTTGAATAAGCTACCTCTAACGGTGACTCTTGCATACTGTGCCTTTAAATGTCAGATTAATTATGCAAAATATTATAAAATGACATTTTGTACTCCTACATTTTTTTGCTTACCATTTATTTCTTTGTTGTTTGTATGTGTAGCTTAATGGGGTGTTGAGGGTCGTCATGGACCCGTTGCTAGGAGACATGCCTCTGATTGGCGCTCTGTCTGTGTTCTTCCTCCAGAAACCCGTATGTTAACCACCATGTGACACACACACACACAGACTATCATATTGCAGAAGAACTTGCTTTGTGTCTTTGTAGTGATTCATTTTTATACTACATACCTGACATAAAGATTAGATGAGATCATACAATATAAAGAATGATGAGAATGTGCCTGTTATTTAACAATAACCCGCACCCTTGTTACTCCACTAAAGTTTTTTTTTATCAGACTCAGAACACTGCACTGACCTGCTCTTCAGAAACTGTTAAGAAATATCTAAATCTATTCCTCGTTCATCTCATTCTCAGCTGTTCATTTCCTGGAAGTCTTGATCCAGAATATTTATCTACTGGATACTTTACTTTAATATCGGTATCTTATACCTTAAGATAAAGTGTTGGTTTCTGCATCAAACACAACACTAACTGCTAGTGCCCACCAGCATTCAATTAAAAAACATTCAGGTTAGGGTTAAATCTTTGGACCAAATCAACAAAACCAAAATTACAACATTTAATTTGAGCACAAAAAGTATTAAAAAAAGACACAAAAAAAAAGCTATTAAGATTCATGATTCTAAATGTTTCATGATTCATGATTCTGGACTGAATGGTGTGTAACTGAGTTTGCTTTCCTACACTCTCACTCTGTTTTTGTACACTACCGCTCAAAGGTTTGGAATCAGTACAAATGTATTATTTTTATAATTTTCCTGGCAGTCTTGATCCAAAAAAAGAAATGAATCCTTTTATACAGCAAGGATACATTAAGTTTTAAGACTTTTTTTATTAATACATAAAAAATCCATTGTAAATAAATGCTGTTCTCTTAAGGAATCTGAAATATTTATTTCACGGTTTCCACAAAAATATTTAGCAGAACAACATTTTTTTAAATTAAGATAATACTAAGACATTTTTCCTGAGCACCAAATCAGCATATTACAAATATTTCTGAAGCATCGTGTGACACTGAAGACTGGATATAATAATTTATATCCTTCATTAAATACATATACATTCTTGTTCCTATTTTCTTTAAAAAAAAAAAGTTTTTTGGTTTGGTTCATGGCTTGAAACTCTTTACTGAAGAATTTTTTTAAGGGTTCCTATGGAAGGAAAAATGCTTCCGGAACCAAGAACCAAGTTACTGTTATATTAACATTATATATCAGTTCAATGGCCTTGTTACTGCTGTGAAAGATAAAGGATCTGTTTTATAGGAAACAAACACAGGCATTTGCATCTACAACCATAATGTATTAAACAATGTTAAATGTGGCTCTATCTCTCTCAGTTTCTGGATATAAACTGGACGGGTCTTACAAATATGCTGGACATTCCTGGAATAAAGTGAGTGACACGTGTCAGCCATCACACACATGCATTTTATAATGTAGTTATGTTATTATGTCAGTTTCATGAACCTGGAAAGTGGATCAGTCAGCCTCCCTTTGAAACACACACATGCTGTCACATGACCTATTTAGTATTTTGAGGTGACATAGATAAGTCTCTCACACAAACATTATGCACGCTCACTCTAGTCTCAGAAATGCTGCTCTTCCTGTCAGACCACATCAGGGGTTACACCCACTTGTGATGGTGATGTTAATAATCTGTTTATCTTAAAGGCCGCCCTAGGATCCCCTACCATTAACGTGTGTGTCCAAATGTAGTTTAATGTGTTTTTCCAAGAGTCTCTGTCTCTGTCTCTCTCTCTCTCTCTCTCTCTCTCTCTCTCTCTCTCTCCTTTTATAGTCATATTATAGGTGCGGTGGAGTTGATGTGGTTTAGGGCGTGGGGAATGATATCTTGTCTTTTGTTATATTTTTCTCTCTCTCACACACACACACATACACCCTTACAGAAGAGTCATATTTCATGCTCTCTTCTGCTCAGACATCGGAGCTGAAATCAATCTGAATTCTTTGATCACTCTCAAATGAAGTACATGTTCAAGTAATGCAAAATAATTGAAATATAATGCTATAGATTGTCATTAACATACTGGGGAGGTAAGAGGTTTCAATGACTATAAATGGCAATACTTAAATGAGAATGCTACTAATGGAGAACTGCTGGGGAGGACGGAGGAAGCGTTATGGAGCTTCAACGTACACACACACACACACACACACATACTCTCTCTCTCTCTCTCTCAATATATATATATACAGTGCCCTCCACAATTATTGGCACCCCTGTTTAAGATGTGGTCCTGGACTTCTAAAATTTCTAAAACATGGAACCCAAATGCAAAAAAAAAAAAGAGAAAAATCCAACCTTTTATTTAAGTAAATTACTTTGGTGGTAAAAAAAAAAAAAAAAAAAATCACGCATTTAGAAAAAAAAACTTGATATCATGTGTCCTACAATTATTGGCACCCCTGATGTTAATACTTTGTACAACCCCGTTTTGCTAACAGGGCAACACTTAATCTCCTCCTATAACATTTCACAAGATTGGAGAACACCGAGAGAGGGATCTTTGACCATTCTTTACACAATCTTTCTAGATCATCCAGTGTCCTCCTGGGTCCTCATATGCACTCTCCTCTTTAGCTCGCCCCACAGGTTTTCGATTGGGTTGAGGTCTGGGGACTGAGATGGTCATGGGAGGACCTTGACTTGGAGCTGAACCATTTCTGTGTTGATTTTGCCACATGTTTTGGGTCATTATCCTTCTGAAAGACCCAGTGACGACCCATCTTCAGCTTTTTTCAGAGGCCATCAGGTTTTTATTTAAAATGTCCTGGTAGTTCAAAGCGTTCATAATGCATTGCACCCTAAACAAGGTTCCCAGGGCCTTTGGAAGAGAAACAGGTCCACAGCATCACAGATCCTCCACCATACTTCACGTTGGACTTACTTCACCATACTTCACATGCTTTTCGGCATACGCATCTTTTGTTTTACGCCAGAGTGTTTGTTGCCAAAAAGCTCAATCTTAGTCTCATCTGACCAAATTGAAGTTCCAGTGCCGCTTAGCAAACTCCAGACGTGTACGTTTGTGAGTGTTAGTGAGAAAAGGCTTTTTTCTTGCATGCCTCCCAAACAGCTTTTTGGCATGTAGAGAGCGTCTGATGGTTGTTTTGGAGACTTTGTGACCCCTAGATGCCACTCTTTGATGAAATTCTGTGACAGTGAGCCTAGGGCTTTTTTTTTTTTACTTCTCTTAGCATCCTCCTCACTGTGCGTTGTGGCAAGATAAACTTAAGACCTCTTCCAGCCTTGTTTGTCACTGTTCCAGTCACTTCTTAATGATTCCTCTGACTGTAGATACGGGCAAGTTAAGGCGAGTGGTTATTTTCTTGTAGCCATTGCCTGACTTATGAAGGTCGACACACATTTTCCTTACTTGAATGGTGTGTTCTCTTGTCTTTGCCATTTTGACAAATGGGTAAGAGAATTAGGCCACTGTGTCGCATCATATTTATACCCCAGGGAAACAGGAAGTCATGAATTACTAATTAAAAGTTCCTAGATACCCTGACCAACTTTAGCAACTACCAAAAAATATATATAAAAAAAAAATCAATTACATTTTTCAGCGGAATTGTTAGGGATCTACATGTGTGTGAGACAACTGTGAGACACGTTTTTTTCCCCCTAAATGTGTTATTTTTTATTTATTTTTTTTACCACCAAAGTAATGTACTTAAATTAAATAAAAGGTTGGATTTCTCTTTTTTTTTTTTTGCATTTGGGTTCTATGTTAAAAAAAAATGAGAATTTTTAGAAGTCCAGGACCACATCTTAAACAGGGGTGCCAATAATTGTGGAAGGCACTGTGTGTGTGTGTGTGTGTGTGTGTGTGTGTGTGTGTGTGTGTGTGTATGTGTGTATGTGTGTGTGTGTGTGTGTGTGTGTGTGTGTGTGTGTGTGTGTGTGTGTGTGTGTGTGTGTGTGTGTGTGTGTGTGTGTGTGTGTGTGTGTGTGTGTGTGTGTATATATGTATGTATGTATATATATATATATATATATATATACATACATGATTGTATGTATTAATGTATTACAAGTGGTCCATACAACTTCTGATCTATAATAGCCCTTCAAAAAAATCTTTGGAAAATAAAGGTTCATAAGCTGTATGTATTTATTGATGGGTGGGTGGATAGACTTAATTTAACACATTTGACTAGTTTATTTTAACCACTTAACTGTCACCGTCCCACAGGTGGGACGTTTGCCACTATATTTTTAAAACAATAATATCTTAGTAAATACCTTAAATAATATTGACAAACTATATATCATTGGAAAGCTTACAATCTCTAGTTTCCATATTTGGTGACTGATTTTCAAAATATATTACAGAGGAGCCATAATTTATCAATATAAAACAAGAATATTTTCATACTCATAAGGCGTGTTCAGACCTTTGTTTTAAAATAGCAATAAACATGAAAAATCATGAAAAAATGGTAGATACCTCAGTTTGTTTTCATGCCAAAAGTTCAAAAGATAGAATCCATTCAATTATTTTGGAAAAAAAAGGTCTGAAAAGTTTAAAATATCAAGAAAAAAATAATAAATTCACCATTTGTGACGTGGCAGCTAGCTATGACTTACATGCGTGTTCTTTGTATGTGTTTCTTAGAGGTTCAATTCATATCAAAATCTGCCAAACTTCCCATGCTACTCCTGAATAGGATCTCTACTTCAGAAATTGTATGAAAATTGTGAAAATAATGGTTCATATCACTCAAAACATGAATGGAAATGCAGACGCCCTTATATGGGCAGTAATGGAGTCTGATTGTGCCCTAGTGAAAAAGTTGGGTACTGCGCTCAAACAAAATCTTACTGAAAGCTCATTTTTTGAGATATCAACCTAAAATTTGAAACACAACTTGTTCAGATTTTTGGCTTTGATCTTTCTGCCATTTTAGAGTAGCCCAGGTTTTGAAAATATATATTTTATGTAAAATATGAATAATTAATATTTTTACATTGTACATTTCCATAAACTCTAACTTCTATAACTTTTTTTCTGTTTCACTTTCTTAATTTATTTCACTTCTACAAAAATCTGCCAAATGTCTTCTTTAAAACAAGACCAATCATATGTCTATATTCCAAAGCATTCTTGAATTACAACCATTTAAGTTCGAAATGTGCATTTTCATGTCTATTCAAAAAAGGGGGGGTGACAGTTAACAGGTTAAATATGTATTGTTTTGTATTATCTCTCTCTTACAGTGGTCTGTGTGACAGTGTTATTCAGGATATCATATACAGTTTTCTTGTGTTGCCAAACAAAATCACTATTCCCCTTGTAAGTGATGCACAGATTTCCAAACTCCGCTTCCCTATGCCAAAGGTGACACGCGCACACACATATACACGCTTCACATACATGTGTACAGATAACATTTCTATCATATAATACGTGTGTGTTTGGTGTAGGGCGTTCTGCGGATTCACTTTCTGGAAGCACAGGACCTGGTGGGAAAGGATACGTTTCTGGGTGGTATGATAAAAGGAAAGTCGGACCCGTATGGGGTCCTTCAACTCGGTAATCAGCTCTTCAGATCCAAAGTCATCAAAGAGTCGGTAAACCCTAAATGGAATGAAGTATATGAGGTGAGGGGCTGATTTGTGAACAAGCGTGTCTATCACTGACATGTTTTGAATTGCTAACTGAGGTGTTTATGTGTGTGTTTTAGGCATGTGTGTACGATCACTCAGGACAGAATTTGGAGATAGAACTATATGATGAGGACACGGATAAGGATGATTTTCTGGGAAGGTAATGGCTGTGCCTGTGATTGATCTAATCAATCATCAAATAATCACAAGAAATCATACTTCAGAATCCCACCATGAAGATGTTCAGGGTCTGTGTGTGTCTGTGGTTCAGCTTTCCCCTACGTTTTGTTAGAAGTAACAAATCTTTGACCTTGTGGAGACATTTTTGGTCCCCGAAAACAACTTATGAATCACACTAAATTATGTTATTTTGAAAATGTAATAATGCAGAAAGCTTTCTGTGATAGTTAGGTTTAGGTGTTAGGATTAAGGTCAGAGGATAGAATATACAGTTTGTACAGTATAAAAATCATTATGTCCATAGAAGTCCCCATAAAACATAGAAACCCATTGTGTGTGTCTGTGTGTGTTAATCTGATGTTTCTCCTCCTGTATTCTGTAGTCTTACTCTCAACATAGATGAACTACAGAAGGAACAGAAAATAGACGAGGTACATATTAAAGTTTTTGCTCTGATTTTGGTCTTAGATCTGTTCAGCTTGGTTTTTAAATATCTGAGCTAAAAGTTAGTACAGAAAATCTGCGTAAATAAGTAGCTTGATGTTCCAAACCCATATGACTTTCTCTTTCTCTTCTGTGAAGCACAAAAAGTATGTTTTTATATTATAAAATATATTATAAAATTATTTATATAATATATCCCCTGATTTGGGTTTGTGTGCAGTGGTTTTCACTTGATGATATCGCTAAAGGGAAGCTTCACCTGAAGATTGAATGGCTTTCTCTTCTCTCTACACCTGATAAACTCGATGAGGTAACATAACACTCCCCTTAAACACAACATAGTGATATGATATGACTTCTGTTTACAAATTAGACATAACTGATCAAATAACAAAATCAAAATTTGGATTGGGTTGAATTTTTTTGTATGTGTTTGAAAAAAGTCTTTCAATAAAAATAAAGCAAAAACCATAATACTGTGCAATATTATTAAGTTTAAAGTAACTATTTTCAATTTTAATATATTTAAAATGTAATTTATTCCTGTGATGGAAAAGTTGAGTTTTCAGCATTATTAATCTGGTCAGTGTCGCATGATCCTTCAGAAAGCATAATAATATCCTATTCTAGTGCTTAAACAATTCTTATTATTATCAACAGATGCTAAACACAGTCAGAAAATTAACAATAATTAAAAACAATTTGGTAGACGAAACAGTAAGGTTAAAATCTTAGTAAATATAGTAATAGGGATGCACCTTATTGCATGTAAAATGAGACATTATTCAGGCATGAAAAATTATTTAGTCTTTTTTTTAGAGGAAGATCCCCACAATGTAGATCACACACACACACACACACACACACACACACTGATGAATGTTGTATGTGTTGCTTTTTAGGTTTTAAGCAGCGTTAAAGCATATAAAGGGCAGGCCAATGATGGACTGTCATCAGCAGTACTGCTGGTGCTCCTGGACTCAGGCAAAAATCTGCCAGTGAGTATTAACACACACACACACACACACACTAGCTTTCTTTCTTTCTTTCTTGCTTCCTTATTTCTCAATGCTCCACCTTCCCTATTTCATCTGACATCACTTCTCCTACTACCCTTTGCCTTTTCTTCTTTCATCCTCTATTTCTTTCCGTTGCCCTGCTCTGGTTTCCTGTCGTTCGGGGTGAAGAGTGTTTTTGAGGGGTACGTGGGCAGTGGGTGTCTGAGAGAGCGGCGCTCTGCTGGGCTGGTGTTCTGTGAGAACACTTCTGCCCTCTACAGGACAATGTTTGTGAGTCACTCTGCTGCTTTTCCATTCGATTTTACCTGCATCTGGTGCATTAACAGCTGGTTGTTACTTCATTTACAAATGTTTCATAGTTTCCTCTCAACTTCCCTTTTGCATGTAAATTCTTCCTGTAATGTTGTTCAAACTCTGCGGACTGCTTTGTTTGTATTTGTTTATGTCGTGGTTCCTCCTGTCAGCATGCTAGTCTTTAAAGAGGCCCTGTCTGCATTTTGCATAGATATAAATAGTCTCTGTATTAGAGGTGTTAATGCAGCCATTTTTTTGTGTGCAGTTGTTTTCCATTGCAATGGTGTACTTTTTCCTTTAAAGAGGGGATTTGAATATGTAGTGTCAGAGGCAGTTCAGGGAAATATTGTTGAATATGTTCACACAGCTACAGAATGTGGTTATGAGCCCCGTTTGCTGTGCTAAATGAGGTTATGATGTGGTTGTCCACAAATCAGGTTGTCCAATCACTGTTTGTAATATCATACAGATCTCCATTATACTATTTATGAACAATTATTAGAAAAATGCTACAACAAAAAAATTCACACACACACACACACACACACGATAATACCATATGATAACAAATGAGGCATGCACAAAATTGCTGAATTTGATCAGAATTCACTTTAAAATGATTTGAAATCAGAAATGTTTTAGTTTCAAATGATGAGGCCACATTTGAAAGGAGGATGAAGTAGTTATTGGTCAATATTGATAATCTCAAAATAAACAAAATATTTGTGGATTAATTATGTTAGAGAAAGATTTACTGAAGTTCAGTGACATTATCCCACTCCTGTCTGCTGTTGTATTTACGGGACAAGTTGAGACTTGCACCTGTCAGTGAATTTGCTTGTGAATCTCGAACACTCACTGTGTGAATGTAGTCTCAGTGATTACATCATGATCTTGTTTGTAACCACGTGGGATTGTGTTACTCCAGCAATGATATGGGTTGGGGCAGGGCTGTAAGACAGCTTTTGCATTGACATACTCTACAGTTTTAAAGTTTGGGGTCAGTAAGATTTTTTTTATCACAGTTTACAGAAAAAAATAAACAACACAACTTTTTTTAACATTGTTAATAATAATAAATGTTTCTTGAGCACAATATCAGCATATTGGGATCTGATGGTTCATGTGGCACTAAAGGCTAGAGTCATAATGCTTAAAATTCAGCTTTGCATCACAGGAATAAATTACATTTTGTAATATATAAAAATAGAAAATAGTTATTTTAAATTGTAATATTGTTACTGGTACTATTGTTTTTTTTTTAACCTTGGTGAAGATAAGAAACTTCTTTCAAAAACATCTTACAGACTAAACTTTTGAACAGTAGTGTACGTGTTGGGGGTGTAAGGTAGAGGTTTAGTAGTAGAGTGTCATATTTGGGAGCATGTTGAATGAAACAGGGGTTACACTTTATTTTAAGGTGTCCTTGTTACAGTGTAATTATACAATGAAGCACTGAGTAATATATTAATTAACATGTACTAACTTTAGGGTTAGCTGCTTGTAATTATTTCTGTAGTAAGTACATGTAACGTGTAACAAAGACACTTTTTAAATGAAGTGTTACCGAAACAGTTCACACTTCACTGTTTGAAATGCATAATAATTAAGTACAAACGAGTGTCACACAAACGAGTGGCTGTGATTCAGTCATAGATAACAGAATGATAACAAGTGTGATATTGCCTAAATACAACAGTTATATAAGAAATGTAATATTGTAATATGTACAAAATTCTATTTAAATAATTTTAAAGTGATACTCCACTTTTTTGGAAATAGGCTCATTTTACCACTCCCCCAGAGTTAAACAGTCGAGTTTTACTGTTTTCAAATCCATTCAGCCGATTTTCTGATATTTAGAAGAATATCAGTAACCAGACAGTTTCTGGTCTCATTGACTTCCGAGACCAGAAACAGTCTGGTTACTGATATTCTTCTAAATATCAGCAAATCGTCTGAATGGATTCGAAAACGGTAAAACTCGACTGTTTAACTCTGGGGGAGTTGTAGAATGAGCCTATTTCCAAAAAAAGTGGAGTATCCCTTTAACATTTACAATGTTTTGCGTAGCTTTGCACAGCAAATTTGTTACATTTTTCCAAACAAAACCAACTGTTGTGTGTCGCTGAGCAGCAAACAAGCTCCAGTGATATTTTATAAAACATCAGCGCGATTGGCCAATCAAATTCGAGGACCTAAATAACTGTTGTACAATTATCGCTGTCATGGCTCATTTTATCATCTTCATCTGTCACCGTGAGAGCGCTGAAGTTTATTGAGGCTTCCTCTATGTGGTATTGCATGTTTCTGCCATCAGAATTGTTGCAGTTTGATTTTCAGTGAAGTGTGGGTTGGACTGATTCTCTTTGGATTGCCTTGTCTATATTTCTCTTTCATTCTGTCTAAACTGTGTTTTGCTATGACTGTTTCTCAGGCCGCCTCTTTTATTATTTTCATCAAGTTAACCATGCATTAATTCTGTAACCATCATTCATTTTGTTGTGTGTGAATGAGTACTGTGTCTATGTGTTTTTGTGCAATTATGAATTTAACTGCATGCAATCCTCCTAATAATCCTGCCTGTATTTGTATTTGTTTGCGCGTGTGTCTCGTCCTTTTCTGCTTGGGAAATAAGCGCAATCCTTTAGAATTCAACAATGCAGGTCTGAAGAAGGGTACGGTCAATAAAGCAAAAAAGGTAACGCAACCTTTTTCTCACAATTTACACACACACATACACACAGAAAGATGTAGAAAAAACTCTCAAGGTGACTGTGTGTAAGATGATCTGCAGCAGGTAGCGTGTGTGCTGTCCGTGTGCTTCGATTAACCGCATGTAGACCTGCGTCTGCAACGCTCTGAATTCAGACAGGCTTTTCCACTCGAGGAAATCCAAGCCAGCTTTCCAATCTCATTTTCACAGTTCTGAGTTGATTGCATTTGATTCAAGTAATTTATGAAGCAAACGTATGTACTGTATACACACATGATCTTAAATAAATCCAATATATAAGAGCATGCCTAAGAACAAGTCCTGATATTAATATAGTAAATGCCATTCATAAGGGAAAATATTCCAGAATTCTCGAAAGAAATTTGGATTATTTTCGTCCTTTAATTAATAAAAATATTTCCAAATTCATTGTCCACCACATCTATGGCATGCTGTCACTTGCCACAATCAATCATTTAGATTCTTCCTGCAGTTTAAAAAAACATTAAATGTCTTTAATTTACGGAAGATTAAGCCAGGATTAGGCCTTAGTTAAATTAGGACATTTATTTAGCATATATATTATTGTTCCTTAGAAAACGACATGGTGTGCATCTTGAGACATACAGTAACAATGGCACTGACATATTTTATTATGTCTGTACAAGTTGCTTTCAGTTAAAACAGCTCAAACATTTTAGTCTGGGACTAGGCTTTAGCCTTGTCTGTGAAACTGTGGGGGTAATGTTTAAATATTACGGTTATACTTTTCAGAATAATGTAATAATAAATAAATATTAATTCACGACTTAAATGTCTAATAATATTTGACAGCAAGCCACAGGTGTGGTTCATAGACTCCCTAGACGAGACTAAATATGATATGTTTACTAAGCATAATTTCAAGTCATTATTAGGTAAATATGTATTCCGGATTGTTACATATTTGAAAATGACACATTGTTTGTTTGGTGTTCTTTGCTTTAGTATGTGCGGTTAAGTTTGATATGTTATATCGGTACGTGTTTTGATGTGGAAGGGATGTTAATAAACATTTGTATATTCTCCAGTCCGGTAAAAAGGTCAGCAGTGTGCCCAGTCCATTCGTCCAGTTTACTGTGGGACACAAATCCTTTGAGAGCAAGGTAAACACACTTACACACTCAAGTGATTGCTTCTTTATCTTATCTGTCTTTAATTTCAGAGGTGGATATTGTATTATTCTTACGTTTGCAAATTTGAATATGAAAATAGTTTGAAGCTCATTGAAGTGGCTTTGCGTGAAAAGAGATAATTAGATATATTTAACAGTAGAGAGATGTTTAGCTGTCATTGTATGACAATATTTGGCTGTAGAAGGTGATGCTGCAGTAAAGAGTCTGACTTTACTGTGACTTTGTATGGTAAAATAATTCCAGAATCACTTTTGTTAAATATTTAAAGGTTAAATGTTTCACATTCCCTTGTCATTATAGACACGATATAAAACCAACGAGCCGGTTTGGGAGGAGGCCTTCACATTCCTGATCCACAATCCAAAGTGTCAAGAACTTGAAGTGGAGGTAAAGCACAAACAGAAGTACACATGGGGTTATGACCTCTAGAGGTCAAAAATGTGGGCTGGTAACCAAAAGTAGTAGACTTGAAGAGGTAGCAAGTAAGCATATATATATAGTATAAAAAATAGTATAGTATAAAAATAGTACATTTTTAGTTTTTTATTAATAGTTTTATACACATAGTATAAAAAATCTGGAAGTTTCCATGCTCACAGGACATATGTTTCTTGCACATTTTGATGTTGTGTGTGTGTGTGTGTGTGTGTGTGTGTGTGTGTGTGCAGGTAAAGGATGACAAGCACGAGTGTTCCCTAGGGACGTGTTCTCTTCCTCTGTCTAAGCTGCTGCAGGAGGATCAGATGACCATCAGTCAGCGATTCCTTCTCAAAAACTCAGGACCCGGTGCTACACTCAAGATGAAGATCGCACTTAGGGTAACACACACATATTGTTTATCTGAAATAACATAATTTAATAGAAAGTATGAAAGAAATAGAAAGAAAAACAAAACTAAAAACAATGGTTCAAGCTCTAACTGATGATAAAGGGTGTGACATTTCCTAAACATGCTCGAAAAGGTTGACCAATCACAACACACTTTCCAGCTGACTAATCAGAGAACATTGCACTTTTTGGAAGGAGTGTCTTCATAGAAACCAGAACTAAACAGAGCGCCAATGGCAGAATGGGAAGAGAGGTGCTACAACAATTTGTGAAACCTGACGTGTTTAAGCATGAAAACTTATTCTAGTAGACCACAAAATTAAAATCAAAACTTTGCGTTTTAAAATCAAGACCAAGTGAGCAAGCTAAACATGACTGTCAAAGAAATAAACAAATGATCTTTGACCTGTACCATCCATCTTGACTAATCTAAATACACTCAAAAACATATACAGATGTGTCTTGGTTCCTTACCCTTTTCTTTTAATTTCAGATTATCTCTGTGGATAAGTTGGCTGCATCGGATCAGCCGTCCTCAGTTCAGATCCGCCGTCCCAGCTCCAGCATGACCCCCAGCCCCTCCCCTCATCGGCCCAATGTTTCAGAGCCCGCCCCGGCATCCAAAGCCCAGCAACCCAACCCTACATCCAAGACCCAACCCACCCCAACACTCTCCCCACGGGTGGACTCCCAAATGGACATCAGGCCATTGGAGGACTCGTCTAGCCGTCTGGTTAAATCAGGGCGGAGTGCGTCTAACCTCGCCATTTCTGGCTCTCTGCTAAACCTGAACCAGAAAGAGCCCACACCCAGCATAGCATCTGACATCTCCAATCCCAGCACCACCCAGGAGCTCCAGAGGACAATGCAACAATTACAGAAGTATGCTTTCACATTTTTAGCATATTTTGACTTGGAATGCACAGATGTATCGACCAATAATCGGTATTAGGAAGGAAACCAATTTCTTTCACTATCGGCCATTGGCCGATTGTTTAAATAAAAACAGCCAATGATCAGGAGGGCCGATTATATCCTGTCATTCAAAAGGGGGCAGCAAAACGTGCCAGACTGTCACTCAATGCTTTGTGTGAAAATCTTGTGTCGAATTTAGGGCTGTTGAAGTTAATGTGATAATACAGATCGTCGGCGTATTATTAACAGAGTAAAAAATAATGATGCAGGCTCTAATTGACCCATTGAATCTTTCATACGTACATCAAGCCAGCGTTGCCAGGTCTGCAGTTTCTCTTACACCAAACATTATTTGTAGCAAACATCCCATCCAATAATCGCAGAGCTTTGTGCTTTGTTACTTCTAAAAAGAAAATATATATATATAAATATAATATTTTGGGCTTTATTGTTGATTTAACCTCTAATATTACAGTAATATACCAAATGAGAGGGTTCCCTGTATAGTTTACAGTATGAGTTGGGAGAGATTGTTTTTTCCCTTTAGAAAATCGGCTATTATGTCAGCTGAGAAATTTTGTATCGGTGCATCTCTAATTTTAACCTTTTTGCCTGGGTTCAGCCGAGGTTGTTCATTATTTCATTTATGTTTTCATGAGATGACAACTCCACAACTACTGTTTAATCTGTCTATGTGTTTACAGTGGCGCCTCACCAGGTTTCGCTCCATTAGGGGAAATTCAGTTAACCATCAGGCATAGTCCCCAAAGAAACAAACTAATTGTCGTGGTGCACAGCTGCAGGCAAGTTACATATGATTTTTGATGCATTTGAGTTATGCCTCTGAAAGACATTTTTAATATGAAAGTATTCATATTTCTGTTTGTGTATGTGTTTGTTTGCAGGAATCTGATCTCTTCTTCTGAAAGTGGATCTGATCCATACGTCCGGTTGTATTTGCTGCCTGATAAACGACGCTCTGGACGCAGAAAAACAAACACGATAAAGAAAACGGTGAACCCGGTCTACGATCAAACGTCAGTTTCTTTCTCCCTTCTTCCAGTCTGATCTCGGATTTCAATAAATCAAGTGTTTGCGTCAAATAAAACACTGTTTGTGCATGCACGTGTTTGTGTAGGTATGAATTCAGCGTGTCACTCGTGGAGTTGCACAGAAGAGTTTTAGATGTGGCTGTGAAGAATGGAGGAGGAATCCTGTCAAAACACAGAGGGCTGCTGGGAAAGGTGACATCCATCCCATTAATAACAGTCCTCATGCCATTTATACCATAAATTGTATAAAACAGTGTTCATAGCGCTTATACATGTACTGTATATTATTGAATATTCTTTTCTAGTTTGTTGTTGTGCCTCAAGAACAAATTACTTTATATAAAATTTGGATTGTGTGTGTTTCTCAGGTGTTAGTTGACTTGACTTCTGAGGATATATCAAAGAGCTCAACGCAATGGTAAAAAACCTTTTATATCATTTACAAAGATCAAGTTGATGATATTGATTACTGTATTGAAGTAATATGAACATATTGGATATTCACTACTTATAATTGCATTTTGCAAAGGTTATTTAGAATTGAACCCTCTAATGCATTTTGTGCATCATTTTGTGATTTATTATGATTATATTCTTGTTTTAAAGTAGAAAAGAAACAATAAAATTAGAGTAGTATTTTATTTACTTTTCTATTCAATATTTCAGAAGGCTAAATTCTACTAAATTTGTTCACATTAAAATTATATGAATGAGTTGAGTTGCACCATTTAAAAATCTATATATAAATGACCCATACATTTCTTGCCAGTTTTTGTGAAAATGACACAATAAAATAAACGACATGAATATCATTAATATTTTGCAAAATGTGCATGATCGTGACACCAGAAATGTTTATATAAATGTGTGTGTGTTTGTCAGGTATGAGCTCACAGTGGACGGACAGAGGCGAACATCCCCTTAATCAAAAGAACGCCCTTTTTCCGCCTACACATATATATATATATATAAAAAAAAAACTACAAATCCCTACACAAGACTCCAAACCTCAACCATATTTAAGCCATGTGTTAAGCCTGTGGGCAAAATTTGTTGGTTCTTCAGTTTTTATTAATTTTAACAGATTTATAGTGTGAAAAAAAAATGTGCACTGAGCAAGAGTGAATGAGAGAGTGAAAGATAATGAGAGTGTTTAGAGATGTTTTTTAAAGGGACACTGTCCAGCAGTATCTGTTGGATTGGTTTGTTTATTTTTAATCCAAGAGTGGCGAACTCTAACAACATCCACCATTCACATTAATGGTGGAGAGATTATATATATAATATATAATTAAGATCAGACTGTAAATAAATAGACGTGGAATATTAAAATTGTATTTGGAAAAGTTTAATAAATATTAACCTAAGAGTTCTTGTTAAACAAGCACCGAACTCAAGCTTGCTTTGAAAGTGTTAGAATCTCTTTTAATGTCTACAGATGACATCTACCAAAGAAGTACTTTGCTCATTAGAAAGTGTGTGATTAAACCAAAAATGCACCTAAATGTTTTGCACACCCAAGTGTTAATATATATGTATGTGTTTGTTCTCTGGTGTGGCTCAGCGTCCACCTTCACCGCACTAGCTGTCACATGACCCTGGATATCTAACGCTGCCATTTCGATGATTCTTGTTTGGGTTTTCTATAGTACTCACTCACATGTTAAAATCCTTTTCCAAAACACACTTGTTCACTGCTCACCCACCTCAGCCCAGCTGTGCTTCTTTCATCATCTGCATCTCAGAATTATATAAAATGTCTTGTGTTAGGTCTGATCTTAAGTGAAGGTTGTGGATTCAACTACTGCAGTGTCACTGAGCTGAGCTCATGGTAGGCAGATGGTCGAACCTTTATTCCTGTCAGCAAGAATGTGTTTTTATTGTATAAATTATTGTGTATTTTATGAAAGATTTTATTATGCTTATTATTATAAATAATACTTATCATACAAAGCAATCGTATGCAGTCAGAGCTCCCCTCTGTGCTGAGCTTGCCTTATTGATGTAGATATATATATTTTCTGTGCCTTATGACCAACAATATACTTACCTTAGAGGATATTTGCCATCAGATATAGGATTGTAAAGTCTCTGTATTTGAGGATTTCCATCGTTGTCTTTTAATAAACAATTTATTCTGTACCAGTAAATAGCCTGGTGGTGGTTTGTCATCTACAGCATGTCATATTTTAAAAACAAATGCAGTCAGATATCACCACAGAGTTTAACTTAAAATAAAATATCTTAAATATTAAAATTATATAAAAAGAATATATTTTTAATTGATTTCTTTTTTTATTTCATATTTTTCATTTTCCTTTTAGTATTTTTTGTGGGTTTTTTTTTTTTTTGGGTAAAAAAAATGGTAACTATCTGTAATAGAACCAATGCTAAAATATGTGTTATATATTTCATTTTTTTTATATTGTAATTTATTTTCACGTATTGATTTAGCATAGTATGTTATCGAGAACCCACCACTAGTGTATTCGTGTGCGCGTGTGTCCGTGACGTCAGTGGCGGGTTGCTGTTCAGTGCTGATTCTAGCGGCGCGCGGACTGCGGTTTGCGATTGACGTCTCTTTCTCTCTTTTTTCGCTCTCTCTCATTAATCCCACTATTTCCACACCGTCTCCATCCATTACCCATCGCATCAGACCTCGCGGAAACACACTGCTGGAAATGGTTTAATTACACCCAGGTGATATGGATGAGTAATCGGAAAGGATGGAATCGTTTCACCTGTTTCTCGCCATCCTTGCGTTTCGGGCCAGTCTCGCCTCCGCGGCAGATCGAAATTTCGGTGAGTGTTTAACATAGACAGTAGGTGTTTAATAATGTGTGTGCGCGCGCGGTGTTTTCCGTATAAAGGGAGAGGTGAAGCGCGCGCCATGTCAATAATTGTCCCTATATTAGCGCTTATAAAGAACTCAATGTCTCTCTGTTGAGTCTTTTCCGCTGATTTAGGCTATACATTTCCAATAAGTGTTTTTTTTATCTGGCGGGTGGAGACGCATACGTGTTTTCCAATACTGAACCAATAAAGAAATAGACGTGGAAGGGAATATCAGTCTTCATACTGAAAAAAAAAGCACAGACTGATAGTCTATTTCCTTGTCTCTAAAATAACGTTAGCTTAATTCTCCACATACAATGATTTCATGTCCGGTAATGTGAAGCGGAGAAGCTGTAGGACTTTCTACACTGGTCTTTTGCTCATTACATAACTGGCTCTGGAGCTGGAGAGGCGATATACACACGGCCTGTGTTTTTCACTTTCCTTGGCGAATGAATATTATGTATTATTTAATCATGTGATCAGTCTGAACATTAGATAATGGTTTGTGTGTTCAGTAGGGCCTCTGTCTGCAGCAGCACAGGAAATGAAGCATCACAGGTTACAGCTTAAGCCACAATAATAGAGTTTATACGTGGTCTGTCTGTGTGTGATTCATAAACCCAGCCCAGGAAAAGGTCATCCTCTCAGTCATTAGCAACTGTAACCATGGCAACAGTTTGCAGCGTGTTAATTTCATATTGACTTGATCTAGACCGCATGAATGAGTAAAGGGCATTTTTAATTTCATTGAAATGGTCACTGACACACACACATAGGCTATATATATTATAATTATATACCTTATTATAATAGCTATATTATACTATAGCCACTATAGTCATTCAAAAGGATGCTATAAATGAAAAATCCTTTTCAAAAGTGAAGTGAAATATATCCTTGCAGATTAAATGCTATAATATCTTAATTTATACTTAATTTACTGTGGATACACACAGGTTTGTCATGCAGCTCAAAGACAGACAGTTAATGCAGAAGCGTTTGAAATGCTGTTTTCAATACTGGTAAATTTAGTGAAATTGTGGTTACAGATAAAACTAACATATTGATTATTAAAACTAAATGGGCAAATTTAATACCTGATTATCTACATACAAAATCATTACACAAAATGTTACTTTAACAGGTCAATTTAATAAAGTAACAAAGTAAAATTCCAGTTTATTCCATTTTTTTTAAATTTTGTTTGTTTGTTTATGCCAGCATTCCAAATGACATTATATGCTTTATGCAATTTTTATTATATTGTTGTTTTAATTTGATCAATATTATTTCATTTTCTGTGGTGGATTAAGAATAAAGCTTTGATTTAAACAAAAGTACTGGCAGCAGTTAATGTAATAATACAGTAAAGTGATCTAGGGTGCAGGTTTACTGTGAAATGAAATTAAGGAACCTTTTGGAAATAATTATCAATTTAAAAACTGAAGTATAGTGAGTTATTATTACAGGATGTTACAATTCATAAAGAATGCAGTTTTAGTGTTTAAAGATTATATTATCTGTCAAACCATTCACTGTTAATTATGGAAAAACATCTGTCATAAAGCTACTACTAAACACTAAACAGCATCTGCACTTAAATCTGAGACACTGTCTCATGCAAAAGCTGACATCATGGTCACACAGGACTCTGTGGCTCATAATTTGAGTAGATGAGTGTCTGTGGATTCATCTGAGAGGATGTCAGTGAGCAGACAGTCTGTTCACCATCATTCTCACAATGCCTCCCCCGAAAATGAGCACGCAAACTGCTTTCCATAGTAACAGAGAGGGTTTAATAGAAATATAACAAGGGAAACATGCATCATGTTAATGTGGATGACCTACAAAGTATGCTAATGGCTCTTTGAAACACAATATTAGAATCCCATCATTACATAACATTGGCCAAACTATTTAATTCAGAAGATCCTGTCATGCTATCAACAAAATCTGACCACTGCTTTGCAATTGAAATTCTACAGTGGCTGTAATTTCTTCATTACAAAACGTGAATTACACACAGTATTTGGCCGATTGTTTGAAACGGGTCAATTGTATTCGACTCATTTTTTTAAAGTGAACTCAAATTTTACTGCGTTTCTCGGGACACTTAGATGATGCACTCTAAAAAATTATGGGTTATTTTAACCCAATTTTAGGTCAAACATGGACAAACCCAGCTGTTAAATTCATAAATTGCATTTTTTAATCCAACAATTGGGTTGGTCCATATTTGACCCAAAATTGGGTTTAAACAACCCAGCATTTTTAGAGTGTGTGAAGAAGAATTATAGATGAAGCCATTCGTGGTTTGTTAATCATACATGAGTAAATGAGGACACATACTGTTAAACCCCACACACAGATTTTCTGAGGCTGAGAATTAGCTATTTTCTGCTGAGACACTTGGTGTGTGGGGGTTAGTGTGAGAATATTTTACTATGAATGATATGTGTGTGTGAATGTCAAACACACTGCAGCAAGTCCCATAATACCTCATAACAGCAACACACTTTTGTGACTTTTTTGGTCCATATGAGGTTGAGATCTGTCTCAGCTGGTTTGATTAAGAAAATAGTGACAACAAATCCTGGCAGTTAGCATGAGGATTTTAAAGCAAGCACTGGAGCAATTAAAAAGGATGTTAGCCATTATTTTGTCAGACTTACCCACATCCCTATTCTAAACTCTGATGCACGTCCCCTATTCTTAGACCATACAAAGATACCATTGTATTACTGAGACCGAGCAAACCAGAGGAAAGTTGTATTGCTCATATGCGCTCTTTTATAGCTAAGGAGGGTTAGAGTTGTTCTCAATTTTATTTCTTCAAGCTATAAACGTTGTCTGGAATGTTTCTGCTAAATTAGTTGAAGTACAGTAATAGGAGAGATCTATGAAATGAATGTGGTGAGCCTGATTCAGATACATAGATAGAATTTAAAAGATGTTTGAGTTCATGTTTATAGCTCTCCTTTTGATTTCAGATTTTGATATCAAATTGGAGCACTTTCATACATTATTGAGATCTCTAAGATGACTAGAGGAGTGTTATTTCAGGACACCTATTTCAAGGATATTTGTCAGCTAATATGGATATATTGATCTGAGTGTCATTCCCCCCAAAATTAAAAAGTAAAACTGAATCATTTTTTTAAGGAGCATTCACATCAAGAATAACATCTATAAAGATCT